GGATCGTAGGACAAGGATTGAAAGTCGGATTTTGCTATTGCTTTTGGATTAATCGTGTTTATCGAATTCAACCGTGAGAATTATCAATCGTAAGATTTCTTTTATCTTAATCGTTAATTATGAATTCTTGGGTTGCGATGATTTTGATTGTTGATTCGATTATGAGTAGCTAAATTCGTATGCTAAGGAATAGGAGATTGATGTTTTGGAATCGTTTGTGATTGTCGGGCTTGAGATTGTTCAATTTGTACGAGTTGCTCTTTTTCTAGGGTTTTTCGATTACCAGGCTTGAGTTTTGCGAATTGTTGAAGGGTGACACTTCAACGTCTAATTATTTTAATTGAATTCGTTTAATTCGTGCATGATTTTTATAAAATTCTAAACGACTAGTTGATTCACCACCTTCTAGTTTTCTTTAATCGACTCTTTGAACCGAAAGGGGAGGAGTCGGTCGAAATAACTCGTATGAACTAGGCTTGTTCGTAGTTGTATGGCCTAGAAGTTAAATGAATTGATAATCTGTCGTTCTAGTTTGTTCTCTTGTTACGAAAAGTTATTGAGAATGAGTACTTGAACGTGTCGGTTACTCAAATCACTTAGCTGAACAATCACTTGCTGATTAATTGCATTTTCGAACCAAAACGGATATCCCCGACTCCCTAGCTCGTTAAATCCTATTTGTTCTTCGTCTATGCGTGTTATTTTACTGCTTTATTTGAATTCTCATGCTTATAGATAATTAAACCAAACCCAATCATTTAAATTAGTATGTTTAGGCATTTTATTCTTTTTCGTGATTGAATAAACGTACAATATATTCCGGCTAACCTTCCTCGTGAGACATGACCCGGTGTTCGAATCTGTAGATTCTACTCCATAAAATATTACAACAATTGGTATAATGGAATGGAATTTGGTAGGAATGGAATGAGTTGATGAATGGAATGATTATGGGAAAGGAATGAAACAAGTCTTGTCATTGATGCGTTTGATATACAGAATGAATAAGACCAGAATGAAATGACATTATCGTCCTATATTATCATTTATCACTATTTATAGAAAAAATTAATATTTATATTAATGTTATTTCCTTATTTATGATAATACTAATATTATTTAATATTTTAAAAACTTACTATAATTTAATAAACATACTTTTGTATTTTTACACCCATGTAATATAACAAATAAGTGAATTATGTATTTGTATACATACTAACTATAACAAATATGTCATTACATAAACCCCTATAAGCATATGTGGTCAAATATACTTTTTTTATAATATAATTCAATGTATGAATAAATATATAATATATATGATTATATAGAATAAAATAAGAATTTTCTAAACTATTTATAAATGCATTTTTGTAGTATCATTTTTATATAAGCATTTAATATATTTAATTAAAAGACGACTAATAAATAGAAATATTTTTAAATTTTTTATTTGGAACTTATTTTTTAAAATGATTTTATTTAATATAATTTAATCATGATAATATAGTATATATTATATATTTATTTGTTATTATTATTTGTTAGTTTTATTTTTTGAAAATGATTCTTAAACATTGTAGTCAAATCGAATAATTATTTTTTATGTTGATTTGTAATAACTCAAGGTGATATGAATTTATGAAAATTCATATGAAAATAATTATTTTATTGAATTACATTATAGTCAAATTGAATTTCTGAATAAAAAGAAATGACCATTATTTTGAAATGAATATATTGTTATTTATTAGCAATCACTTGCAACCTTACAAGTTGGGTACTAATTTTGAAAAGACATATTTTATGTAATTCAGACAATTTAATCCTATAATATTTTCAATAAATTAATATAAATAATAAATAATTAAATTGTATTTCATATTGATTTCATAATTCAATTTATAAATAGTATTTAATGAACATTTTGAATTTATAAATATTACTACCTCCTATTTTAAATAGATGTCGTTTTGGGATGTTGCACATCTATTAAGAATATTTTTTTTGTCAATAATAACCTAATTTAATGAAGATAGAGATGAATGTTTTGAGAAAAAGATGAAGAGTGATTATGAAAAGACGTGATGTATTTATTAGCTAAATGAGGGTAATAATCGAAAAATATGTACAAAAGATCCAAAACGATATTTATTTATCAAATAGTTGATAAAAATATAATGACATTTAAAAAAAATAGGAGGGAGTAGTAAATATCTCTTACATGCATGTCAATAATTGCTAAAGTTACTCGGTATCGCAAGCCAAAGGTTAGGGTTTCTTAGGGTACCTCATGTTGTTTAATCATTTCTTCTATGCAGGGCTTTTTGTTAGAACACCAAATTTCTTTAATTCGATGAAATTCAAGCCTCCTCCAAAGCGGAAGAAAGTCGATCCCGAGTTGTCGTCCAGGTAAAAATGATCTCTTTCTTTGGTTGCCATTGGACGATGATAAAGCTGAGATAGAAAGGGAAAAGCTTCTGAACGGCTCATTTACTATTGTTCCTCCTCATGTGTTAATCATAACTCGCTACTGTTAATTTGTGGTTTGATTGTCTTCTTCTCTGTCTACCTACCTTGTGCTCATTTGCAATCAGCAGAAGTTATCTTGTGGGAACTTTTTTCAATTTAAGTTCTGCTTCGATATGTCTTTTTTTTTTTTTTTTCC